CTAGTTTTTTGTATTTTTAGTAGAGACGGGGTTTCACCATGTTGACCAGGATGGTCTCGATCTCTTGACCTCATGATCCACCCGCCTCGGCCTCCCAAAGTGCTGGGATTACAAGCGTGAGCCACTACGCCCGGCCCCTCACTTTTTTTTTTTAAGCGAGTCTCGCTCTGTCACCAGGCAGGAGTGCAGTGGCGAGATCTCAGCTCACTGCAATCTCCACCTCCCAGATTCAAGCCATTCTCCTGCCTCAGCTTCCCGAGTAGCTGGGACTACAGGTGCACACCACCACGCCCAGCTAAGTTTTGTATTTTTGGTAGAGAACAGGGTTTCACCATGTTGGCCAGGATGGTCTCAATCTCTTGACCTCGTGATCCGCCGGCCTCGGCCCCCCAACTTGCTGGGATTACAGGTGTGCACCACCGCACCCAGCCCACCCACTTTTAATAACATGTAGATTCCTGGCCGGGCGCAGTGGCTCACGCCTGTAATCCCAGCACTTTGGGAGGCCGAGGCGGGCCGATCACGAAGTCAGGAGATCGAGACCATTCTGGCCAACATGATGAAACCCTGTCTCTACTAAAAACACAAAAATTAGCCGGGCCTGTGGTCCCAGCTACTTGGGAGGCTGAGGCAGGAGAATCGCTTGAACCAGGTGGCAGTTGCAGTGAGCTGAGATTGTACCACTGCACTCCAGCCTGGAGACAGAGCAAGACTCTGTCTCAAACTAACTAACTAAATAAAATATGTAGATTCAAGGGTGGTTTGAATGCAGAGTCCAGGACTAACCTGTAGCCCTTCCGCTACAGGTTCCCAGGAGAATTCTTGGCAGTGCCGCCCAGCCCATCGGGTGATTAGAGAACACGAAATCTACAAGGGGAGGGGCAGCCACTTCCCCTCTGTCCCTCCGCAGCCTCCCCAGCCCTGCCCTCCTCTGCCCCAGGAGAGGTCCAGTGCACAAAACCCCAGAGACGGATGGCTTTTGGACCCGAAGGAAAATAAAACCAAATACAGAGATATATTTTGGCAAGAGAAGTGGGGTGCCCCGTTTACACGCAATCCTTTCTGGACACAGGCTTCCCGGTTGGGGGTTCAAAAGGAAGCAACTGTACCCCAGCAAGCAGGTCAAATTCGGGGTCACAGAGCAACGCAAGGCCGGGTGCGGTGGCGCACACCTGTAGTCCCAGCTGCTCAGGAGGCTGAGGCACAAGAATCGCTTGAACCCAGGAGGCAGAGGTTGCAGTGAGTTGAGATCATGCCACTGCACTCCTGCCTGGGCCATAGAGCGAGACTCCATCTCCTA